TTCCCATTTTTATTAAATATTTCCTCCTATACTTGCAATTCAATTGCTACAAAATGATAACATGCTCTTCTAGAATTCCTTTTGCATGATAATATGTCTTCCTAGCTCATTTATTCATGTTATACACCATAATGCAATCTTCCTAGCAATGAATCATTCTAATTACATGCAGGTGCATAATTCTTTCATGTTAAGTAGTTTTAACAGCTCAGTATTTCAGATCACAACTGTTTCAGCCTCTCTTTCTAGTTAACTGAAAGCTTTTCCTATGATGCATAAAATGCTGTCTTTGGGATAATGGTTTATATATGAGTTTTTATTTCATTTCAGCGCAGCCCCAAAACATCCTGACTCTTATTTCCAAAGTCCAGACACAACATGAGATAGTCTCACTCTCTCTCAGGGTGAAACTGCAGATTTCCTTCCTGGTTTAATTTCGGAAGTTAAACTCAGCGAGCCTGGCTTCATGAACACCACTGAACCCAAATAACCAATTGTTTTAATTCAAACAATATGTGACATAGTTAGTCATATAAATATATTTCTCATGATCACAAAAGACTTATTAAACAAAATATCATCCTCCAAGAACTAGTATATTTACAATATGGCATTCATGAAATATTCACTACAGCATAATTTTTCAGGTGAGAAAAATCTTAAGAAATATCTTTATTTCTTGGCTTGATGTGACAAAGGTTCTGGGGACGCCTCCATAATCCATATTTCTTGTCAAAAGAAAAATTGCCTCTCTCCTAGTCCATTCAAAATGCATTTGCTAAGACCATCTTCCTTGCCCATCAGTCTGCAATATTTAGAACTCAAACTCAGTGCACCATGTAGAGACTAAATCAGTAGAGCTCTGTGCGGATACAAATTTATATTTGTGGATGCAGATATAAATTGGTATCCACGGAGCTGCAGCATTCTACCGGGAACCTCCGCAGTGAAAGGAGCAACACGTGTGGCCTCTACTTGCTAGCAGTTACTCCGGCATGTTTGTACTTTTCGCAGCCCCGGCCCTAGCCCCGCCCACTGGGGCAGGCACCAGGCTCACCAGCAGCTGTCCCTGGTCACACTCGTGTGTGCAAATGGCTTGCACGCTCCCAGATAGGAGACGCAGACTGCTGCGTGGAAGGGAGCAGCAGTCCCACATGGATCCGTGGATATAAATTTGTATCTGCGACGGGCTCTAAAAATCAGAAAGGCTAAGGCACCAAATGAGTTACATCAAGCACGAGACAGAAGGCAATTAGAGGTTCTTTAAATTCATTAGGAGCACCAGAAGGATGAAGGGAAGTGTAGGTCCTCTACTTAGTGGGCAAGGAGAGCTAATAACTGATGACATCAAGAAGGCTGAGGTGTTTAAAGCCTATTTTGCTTCAGTCTTCACTGAAAAGGCTAGTGGTCAGGGCCGGCTCCAGGCACCAGGCACCCAAGCTGGTGCTTGGGGCGGCACCTGGAGGGGGACGGCGCGGCGCGGCGCTCCGGCCACCTGGGAGAGCGGGGCCACAGCAGGGCTCGCCACCCTCCCCTCGGCGCTCTGGCCGCCCTCCCCCCCCCCCGGCCGCCGGGGGGAGAGCGGCGAGCCCCTGCCGGGGCTCGCCGCCCTGCGCTCTGGCCGCCAGGGGGGGAGAGCCGAGCCCCCGCCGGGGCTCACCGCCCTGCCCCCGGCGCTCTGGCCGCCGGGGGCAGGGGGAGAGCCGAGCCCCAGCCAGGGCTCGCCGCCCTCCCCCCCGGCGCCCTGCCCCCGGCCGCCGGGGGGAGACCGGAGCCCCTGCCGGGGCTCGCTGCCCTCCCCGCGCGGGGGGGGGGGGGGCCGGAGGCTTTTTCGCCTGGGACGGCAAAAAAGCCAGAGCCGGCCCTGCTAGTGGTGACCAGATTTGCAACACAAATAATATTAATAGCACAGGGGGAAGGAATATAAGCCAAAATAGGGAAAGAACGGGTTAAAGAATATTTAGATAAGTTAGATGGATTCAAGTTGGCAGGGCCTGCTGAAATTCATTCTAGGGTACTTAAGGAACTAGCTGAAGCAAGCTCTGAACCATTGGCAATTATCTTCGAGAATACATGGAGGATGGGTACGGTCCCAGAGGACTGGAGAAAGGCAAACATAGTACCTATCTTTAAAAAGGTGAATAAATAGGATCCAGGGAATTTAGACAAGTCAGACTAATTTTGATACCTGGAAAGATACTGGAACAAATTTTATTAAACAATCAATTTGTAAGCATGTACAATCAATTTGTAAGCCAGTACCAATTTGTTAAGAACAAATCATGCCAAACCGACCTAATTTGCTTCTTTGTCAGGATTACCGGCCTAGTGGATGGGGGAAAGCAGTAGATATGATATATCTTTAGTATTTTTGATGTAGACCCATATGACACTCTCATAATAAAATTAGGAAAATGTGATTTTGATGAAATTACTATAAGGTGGGTGCACAACTCGTTGAAAGACTGTACTTAAAGAGTAGTAATCAATGGTTCACTGTCAAACTGGGAGAGTGTATCTAGTGGGTCCCACAGGGACCAGTCCTAGGTCCGGTACCATTCAATATTTTCATTAATGACTTGGATAATGGTGTGGAGAGTATGCTTATAACATTTCTGGATGACAGTATCAAACTGGCAGGGGTTGCAAGAACTTTGGAGGACAGGATTAAAATTCAAGATGACATTGACAAATTAAAAATTGGTCTGAAATTAACAAGATGAAATTCAATAAATACAAGTGCAAAGTACTTCACTTCAGAAGGAAAAATCAAGTGTGCAACTGAAAAATGGGGAATAACTAGTTAGGTGATAGTACTGCTGAAAAGGATCCGGGGATTATAGTTGATTAGAAATTCGCTATGAGTCAACAATGTGAGGTAGTTGTGAAAAAGGCTAATATCATTCTGCGGTGTATTAAGAGGAGTGTGGTACGTAAAACCTGGGAGGTAATTGTACAATTCTACTTGGCACTGATGAGGCCTCAGCTGGAGTAATGTGTCCAATTCTAGGAGCCACACTTTAGGAAAGATGTGGATAAATTGGAGAGAGTCCAAAGGAGAGCAATAAAAATGATCAAAGGTTTAGAAAACCTGACCTATGAGGAAAGGTTAAATAAACTGGACATGTTTAATCTTGAGAAAAGAAGACTGAGGGGGGACCCAATGAAAGTGATCAATTGTTCTCCATGTCTGCTGAAGGTAGGACAAGAGGTAATGGGCTTAATCTGCAGCAAGGGAGATTCACAGGAGCACCTCCTCATGGCCAGATGTGGTGTAGCACACTGGGCCCCCTGCTGATGGTAGCTCCATTGCAGCAGTGGTCTCTCTTCAAGCAGGTTGGCCCTCTAGATGTCATGCTTTAACGAGTCCAGACAGGCTATAGTCCAATGATCTTACAGCAGGTCTTCTATCTGTCTCTGGGTTCCATAGTCCTTACACCCCTTACCTCAGGGGATTTCACCACACCTTCCTTGGTGGCTAGCAGGGGAACCTCTACTCTGGGTTCCAGCTCAAAGACCCTGTAGCTGGTAGCCAAGGTCTACTCCCTCAGGCTCTTTGCTTCCTCCTTGGACCACTTCCTACCTCTTCTATCCCTCAGGGAGTGATTGTAGACTCCCTGCTGCCTCTTGCTGATACAAGCTTCCTGGCTTTAGAATTATTACCCAGCCCCTCACTAGTTGTGTTTCATTATCAATTAAGAGCTTTCTCTCTTGCAGGTGCTGCCAGGTATGTTAATTGACCTCTCAGGTGTACATTTACCCCTTCAGGACCTCCACACAGGGAGATTTTGATTAGATATTGGGGAAAACTTTCTAACTATGAGGGAATAGGAATAGGCTTCCAAGGGAGTTTGTGGAATCCCCATCATTGGAGAATTTTAAGAACAGGCTGCACAAATACCTGTCAGGGATGGTCTAGATTTACTTGGTGCTGCCTCAGCAGAGTGGGCTGGACTTGATGAGTTCTTGAGGTCACTTTCAGCCCTACATTTCTATTATTCTATGATGGAAAGTGTGTGAATTTTGGTAACGATGATTCAAGATTTGGTTCATGTGTTATGCAATGTTGGGAAAAACAAAGCAGACCCCCTGCTGAGCTGTTTTTATTCCATTAGTGATTGTTTGTATTTTAAACCACTTTTTCCAAATGTATTTGGATATATAGTGTGTGTATAATATGCACATGTGTGTATATGCATATATATACACACAAATTATACACACACACACACACATATATAAAAACAAATTACACACACACACACACATATATATATATATAACAAAGACTTTTAATTTGGCACTCTTTCCTCTTTTGGTCTTTGTTAGAAATGGCAATCTTTCATGATATAACAGTTGTAATTCAGTCAACACTTCATTAACAAGAGAAAACATGAGTAAGTAAATAGGTATCCATAATAGGTAACAGTGAATTTCCTGGTTTTATTTGTTATGTACTATTTAATTACAAAGGTGATTCACATTATTTTGTCCAATGTATACTTAAATACCAGCTTTCTACTAAAAGATTAAATTAAAGAATAATCAAAATAGAAACTTGAACTGCATATATTAAAGCAAGATATGATGTAAAATGGAACACTTCTATTATTCTTGGCTCAGTAATATGTGATAATGATAATCTCCACCAGTATGGCCAGTGCCTGTCTTTTGTGACAAAACAGAGCAGGCCCCTGCTTAGCTGTTTTTGTTCCATTAGTGATATGATGACTTAACCACTTTGAGTCAGAATAAAGACTCTTTCTGTCTCAGAGATGGTTTCTTCCTGTACTCAAGAAATGTATGAAACACATAGGGACTTTTGAAAGCAAAAGTATTATACCCCAAGGCACAGTAATATGTGAACACAAGGGTCATTACTATTCCCAAGTGGGAGAGATTTCCCTCAAATTGATGGCTGGCTCTCTACTTATAAATCTGTCTTGTTGGATAGATGGGTGAAATTGCTAAAATTTTGCTAACGGTATCTGCAGGTCCAACAAAATGTAGCAAATTTTGAGGCTCGTATACCACAATCAGGAGGAAAAGAGACTTGGACAGATCCAGCACAGTATATTACATTGTAGATTCTGCCACCTACAGATAATGACGCGAAGACTTTTAAATGCAGTCCCTAACAATGAAATTATAGCTGACCAGACAAAATGATATATGCTATTAGGAGGAACAATGCTTTAAAATATGTTACCTAGTTAAGGTCCTGATTCTACAATGTAATTTAAGCATGTGCCTAATTTTAAGCATGTGAGTAGTCCCATTGAAGTAAAGGCTGCATAATGAAGGAAAAGGAGGGGGGGAAACACTTCCTTTTGAAAAATGGTGATATTCTCTTGCTATCAGCTTTGGGGAGGAAAAAAAGAGAGTCTGGTTCTGGGGGCATGACAGAGGGTGGGAGGTGTCAGATAGGTTACCTTTTGAGTTCTGGGATGGTGGAAAGAATTAAAAGGTGTAGCGTCGGGTGGATGAGATGAGAAATCTACTCTTTCAAAGACATGGAGTCACCATCTAGGAACCCATGTGAAGAAAGCCAGGGACAGATCTTGGTATTGTATCCCAAATCCCTGTAAAGAGTGAAAAAGAAGAGTATTAGGCTTTGTTTTTAACCTACTAAAAGATAGTCAAAACAGAAGAAAGATGGTTGGGGCTAATTTCTTTGGAAGATCTCAAGGTCCTGGTTACATGGCAATGGTATCTGAGTGCTAACATTAGCCTGAGTGCAGGCATCTTTATACAGAGGAACTACAAATATATATCTCCCGAGTCATAATAATCACTAGCCAAAATTATATCTACTCAAAACTTTAAAACTCTTAATTATTTACGCTTTAAATTATTAATTATTATATTATTATTACTATTATTATTTTCTAGCACCCAAAAATATGTGACACACTTTGCAGAAGAAAGTAGAAAGATATAATTCTTTCCCTGAGGCAATTAACAGTCTAAATTGTATATTACAATCTACATGAAAATACAATTCAAGTTAATGGAGAAACTGTCAGCTGCATTAGTATATAAAAAGTAATTTACGACACTTACTTGAGAAGGTCTGATATCCTACACACACGCACACACACACACACACACACCATGACATCATGAATGACTAGAAGTAACTGAGAAACACAAGATGCAAGACAGACTATTTGTTACATCTTAAAATTCACCTCTCTTGGGGAACTTGGAAAAAATTTAAATTGTATGAAAAATATGTGATGAGCAGTGGACTCATAAATTAGCAAGCATTTCTGGTTTTGTAAATAACCAAACCCTTGCTGTTAAAAAGAGTAATTATTTAGCCATTGATCAAATACTAACCATATTACCAATGTGCAATTGCTAGATAGTTAAAGGACTGTTTAGTTTGCATTGTGCTTTCTAAAGATCCCTGTCATCAGCACATACTACATTATGATACTGTCATTGGGAGGAATGCGCACTGCAACTTTAAGGCAGAAATGAAACTTTATTGAGATTACCTAATTGTGAATATTGTTGATTCAAAAGCTTCTTTTATGACAGTATATATTATTGATCACGACTCATCTCTTCACAAACAGACACAGAATTAATCAGAAGGCAGAACAGTTTAGATGTGAAGCATTCAAGGGTGCAAAGTTGAGTTATACAATTTAATGTCTCTAAAAAAATCTCCAACTCTGTAGAATATTTAGACAAGGTTTCTGTCTGTTCTTTCTTATAAAGTTGATTCAGTTCAGAGGAACACGACATTTTGCTTTCACATCTTAGCATAATTCTTTGCCCTACAGTTCAAGATAAATTGTCCCCAGACTCACAAGAAGTGATGAATTACAAGGTAGTGCTGCCAATTTTCCAATACACACGAGATGGGAGATGTAAACTATCACTTCCTCATAACAACAGCTTGAACTAAGCAGGGCTCAACCAGACTGAAACAAAATCTGCACAGTCGAACAGAACTCAGTTCTTTCTATGTTTTACAGTTCAGATTCTCTTTTGGGTCCTGTACTCGAGTCTGCAAGTACAACACTTAATTATATTCTATTTTATATATTACACACACACATATAAAAATGCCAAGAATCCATAATACACATGCACACATACAAAAAGCAGGTATTGCTAATACTCCATAAAAATATAATTACACAAGTGTAACATAGTTTTGAGCCACTACATTGGGTTTTCTTCAGTCCTCAAATAGAGTTTCTCCTACAGTCAGCTTTCTTTACCCTGGATTTGAGCTTTGGCAGCCTTCTGGCTTGTATCTCTCCCACCAACAACCTTCCGTTGGCCCTGAGTTTGTGTTAAGTTGGAATTTCCAGAAGCCTTGGCAACTTTCCCCTTTTCCTCAGGGACTTACCTCTGCATTTGATTTCAGACTTTACTAGAATAAAGCAGTTCATTAGCTATAAAGATATTCTGGGGCCAGGGCCTGGTTCTCTTTCCTTTCTCCCAGTCACTCTACTGCAGCTATGATGTACAAAAGACATAGCCAATGGCTTCTACTTCTTTACATTGTGGAGTCAGGGCTCATCAGTACAGACTTCACCTCCATTGCAGCATCTCCAAGACCTGAAAAATTTACTAGCCCAAGGAACAGTCTGACTAGTTGAACAGCCAGGAACAAGATATTAACAAACAGATGGATAAGACATAATAAGACAAAATATGTCACAATGCCATTGTATAAATCCAAGGTACACCCACACCTGGAATACTGAGTGCAATTCTGGTCAGCCCATCTCAAAAAAGATATATTAGAAATGGAAAAGGTACAGAAAAGGTCAACAAAAATGATTAAGTTTATGGAACAGCTTCAGTATGAGGACAGATTAAAAAGACTGGGATTTTTCAGCTTAGAAAAGAGACAACTAAGAGTGGATATGACAGAGGTCTATAAAATCGTGAATGGTGTGGAAAAAGTGAATTAAGGAAGTATTATTTATTTACTCCTTCACATAATACAAGAACCAGGAGTAATCCAATGAAAGTAATAGGTAGCAGGTTTTAAACAAACAAAACGAAGTACTTCAGACAATTCCCAGTTAACCTGTGGCACTGATTGCCAGGGGATGTTGTGAAGGCCAACAATAAAATTGGGTTCAAAAAAGTTCATGGAGGATAGGCCCATAAATGACTATTAGTCAGGATAGGCAGGGAGGCAAAACCATTTTCTGAAGTGTCCCTAGCATCTGTTTGTCAGAAGCTGGGAATGGGCGACAGGGGATGGATCACTTGATGATTACCATTGCTGTTCATTCCCTCTGAAGCACCTGGCATTGGTCACTGTCAGAAGACAGGATACTGGGCCAGATGGACCATTGGTCTGACCCAGTATGGCCATTCTTATGTTCTTAATACTCATATTTGCACATGGATGTCTAAGAAGGATCCATTTAATCAATACTTCTCTTCCTTCCCTCAACACCCATCTAATAGGCTGTTCTTCAATAGCAATTTTCCCTGCTAACTTGACAACAATAAGTTAACATGTGTTAAAGAGTATTATCTTGTTTCTACATGCTACAGCAATGCTATGGTTGACACAGCGTCAACCATGAACTCTTATTCCAACCTAGACAAAACCAAAGGGAGTGCTAAGGAGAAAGGATTGGGCAGTGCATTGGGCACAAGGGCAGGTGTAAAAGAAAATGAAAGCTGAGAGTGGTAAAGATGGAAGCCAAGATTTGAAGATGCCGACAAAAAAATTGCACTTTGTACAGAAGAGAACAGAAGCTAGTGAAGGGATTCAAGGAGTGGGACATACCATTATCAAAGTAGCAAGAAACAAAGATTTTTGGCTCCAGTGTCTTGGTTAGATTAAAGAGAAGAAATGATTGAAGAACTGAAAGGAAGAGATTGCAGCAGTCAAGAGGCAAAGTGATTAAGGTACAGACTGATTGTTTAGCACTCAGAGAGGAAAACAGATTTTAGGTCAGAAAGTGACAGGACTTTGTGAAAACCTATATCAGGGAGGTGCGGAGAGAAGAGTTGCAAATCATGCTGAAGTTGGAAGGCAATGGAGTTGTACTAGTCAGAGAGAAGACAGGAAAGGATAGGATTAAGAGGAAAGATACCTTTATTTAAATGAACCTTTCCATTTTAAGGAAGCTATTGTTAATACATCCATCAAAAATCTGGCTTTATAATTCATATACCAATACAAGCTCACATTTAAGCAATGAACCCTCCTGTATGTAACAAGGACTGAAGATGCACTAAATCCCACAGCAAGAAAATTAGCACGCTATTAATGGACAGTGTACCAAGACAAAAGTATGCAGTATGAGCCTACAAGACAAATACGTTCCTGGTGTTCCTCCATTGGCTTCGGTGGAATCATACCAGAGAAAAATTTGACACGGTATGATTAATATTTTACTCTATTCAAAAGTGAACTCACAATTGTGCAGCAGACTGGCAGACTAAATACCCAGAAAACCCTCTGAAGCATTCTGCTTGCCTTGTTTATGCAAATGACTGAGTGTATATATATTGTGTAGGCGATGAACATTAGTTCTTAGATATAGTGAAGCCTATCTGCTTATTTGATAAGAACTATAATAAACCTGTTGAAATTCACTTGCTCTGCAGTTCCTTTATGTTGTTACTGAAACAGTTACAATTCATCGTGACCATGGGATAAATCTATCAAATGGATTAACAGCCACATCCACAGGAGCCTGATGCATGTAAAGTAAGAGCAAAAAGCAGCTTAAAAATTGCATGTCTGATGCATCATGATTGGGAGACAGGGAGGGACAGTAATGGGAAATCCATACTTCCATGCACACCACAGAGGAGATCTCTCCTTAGCTCATTGTGTGGAAAGACATACCAGGGACAAGGCCAGTGGGCCTTTGTGCAAAACCCACACAGGAAGCAAGAAGCGGGCTATGTCTGCCTTTCCTTCTCCCCAGCTCCAGCAGTAACTGTCTGCAGCCCAGATGTTTGGGTGATCTGCACCCTGCTTTTGATTTGTGGGGGAGACTATCTCCCCTTCAAGCAAAGTCACTTTATTTGAGCCTTGCTTGCAGGCTCCGAATTGGGTTCCAAATACAGCTAGGCATTCATTAGAACAATGTATGATGAAATCAGAACACAAAAATGTATAAATACCCAGTAAAGAAACAAACCTAGTGAAAGAAGAACTTTGCCTTGTCACATAACTGTGCACACAAGAGATCGGAGCTAGAACTGAAGAACTCTCTCTAGTACATCCATCAGATTCTTACACTTAATTCTATTTTAAGTGTTTTGTTCACTCTTAGAGGCAGAGCTTTACTGTAGTGCAGAGAGAACAGCAAATATTGTTTCTTTTAAAAAGAATTGGGACCTCTAAATAATGCAATAAAATAATGTTTGCTCAGATTCATAGAATTTCTGTCAAAATAAAACATCACAAACTTGGTTCTTCAATTTGAGCAGGTTGATAAGGTTGGGGTCAGCCAATTTCACTGCCTTGGTGATGATGGACTATCTTCCACAGGCACTGCAAGAGGATGTTTACTAATCATAGCAGCAGCAAAATTGAAACTAGAGAGGCAGCAGGAAGGAATGTGCACAGAAAGAAAGAGGAGGGGTTATCACTCAACATAATTAATATGATGCTTTTCCTGCTCAAAAGAGCCTTCTAAACATCAACGGGGGAAAAGAAAAAAATCCTGATTATTTTCCCCAAAGAATATTTTTTACTTTAGGAAATACTAATAAAGAGACCCTCTATCAGAAAACTTATTTTTTTAAATTATCAAATTAAAAAAAGTTCAAGATGATAATTTTCCTTTAAAAGGCTGATTTACATATTGCCTTCCTAATACCAATTACGTATCACAACTGCGTTTGCGATTAGAAAAAGCATTATTTATTGTCATCAGTAAAATATTAACTAGATTCCACTCCCCTTTGTCTTTTCTCCACTAAACCTTCCATTAGAGTCACTGGGAATTTTGCCTAAGAAGGAAAGGCGGATAGTCCACCCACCATTTAGAACTGGTATTAACGCCAAACAAATTATCTCATGAACCAACAACCTCCCTTTGCCTCTCTACAAAAACACTATCATGGTTATTTATTTTTTTCAAGTATCTATGGTGCATCTCTGGTTTCATTAGTTCTGAAAAGGGCACATTCTTTAGCAATGACACATTGTTGGACATTGACACAAAATGGAGTAGAGTGTACAGGATATGTTATCTGCTCTATAACATGTAGACTGTAAATTAACTTATATCAGCCAGAAGACAGACATCTAAATTGAACACTTTCATATAGACTTACTTATTATTGATTATGTCTCTATGTACCTATCTCATCTGTAATTAGTCTCATACCAGACATGACAAAATCAGTGCTGTCAAAACAGAGGAGATTATGGACTGTACATTGAAGGCACTTACAGATCTAACTGTCAGAAAGAAGTGTGTCTTGCTGCATAATAAACTAATGTTCCAAAGCATTTATTGCAAGCAATTATGACTCATTTTAATGGGGTATGTCTGTGTATATGCAGTATACACACACACACACACACATACTTATACACCATTGGGAAGGGTAGATTCACAGCTTCTCAACAGGACCCTGCAGTTGGCTTTTGCAATGGAAGGGTTTGAGAAATCATATTTTAAATTTGTGATATTTCTAGGACTAGAAAGACAATTTAAAGTCACTTTTAGATAATTTTTTTATGGCTCCCTCTGAGTGCTGTACTGTTGGGCTTCTAGTAACTAAAGCATTTGGACATGTCTGGGTATATAGCCAAAATATAAAATAGTTTATTCCATAATACTAAAATCCAGAAAGGTAAATTTCAACCAAAATACACAAATAATGGAGTCCAGTAGAAAGAATAGCACCAGATTCTCTCTTGGGAAATTGTAAAGTTATTTCATGAATACAGATCTCCATTAGTTATTAGCATATGATCAAAATACCATATGTCTTTCCAATTTACAATATATATATATATATATATATATATATATATATATATATTTAAAAATTCCAATGCCATAATTCATAATGTGGATCTACCACCTGTCACAGTACTAAAGTGAGCTAGTATTCTATTACATTTATACATAGTATGGTCTCTCTTCAGCTCTCCAATGACAGGCCTGAATTATGTTTAATAGCAGTAATGAGAAATCCTGTCTATAAAATTGAAACTTAAAAAGAATATTGTATTGCAGGGGTTCTCAACCTTTTTCTTTCTGAGCCCCCCCCAACATACTATAAAAACTCCACATCCCACCTGTGCACAATAACTGGTTTTCTGCATGTAAAAGCCAGGGCCGGCATTAGGGGGTAGCAAGCAGGGCAATTTCCTGGGGCCCAGTACCAGAGGGGCCCCCGCAAAGCTACATTGCTCAGGCTTCGGCTTCAGCTCCGGGTGGCAGGACTCAGGGCCTCAGGCTTCAGCCCCATGTGGTGGGGCTTCAGCTTTCTTCCCTGAGCCTCAAGTGACTCTAATGCTGGTCCTGCTTGGCGGACCCCCTGAAACCTGCTAGGGGTCCCCAGACCTCTGGTTGAGAACCACTGTATTGCATCAGCGAACCCCAAATGTTAGCCACAAATTCCAAGTAACTGGAGATGTTTCTGTATTTAAAAAGCCTGTGATGGCCTAATATTCTTTGGCACTTACAGTTCTTTATGTTTTTGAATGGAAAGTGATATTTCATAAATAATCTGGGCATTTTTGTATTATTCTAGAATAAGCTGTTTTGCAATTTGGATTATACTGCTGCTTCATCCGGAAGCCTGACTTATGTAGACTCTAGCCAAGAGTAAGGCAAGCGCTATCTCACGTAATGTATTTGTTAAGTGTCCTTTAACATTCCCAATAGAGTCTTTTGATGTCATATAAGCCTTTGAACTGACAGGAGTGGAGTAGAATGTTGCTGTTGGCATTCTGTTGCCATGGTTATTTTTTTGAGAGAGGATTGATAGATGCTAAGACATTGAAACTCATGGATCACAAAGCTAAATTATTGCTGAATAGAGATGTAAGCAGTCTGTGTAAAATGTGCTTTAACATGTGGCTATGCAATATCTTTTGATGAGAGCGCGCAAAAACTCTTTCTTCCCTTGTACTCAATTATATAATCCAGAGGTCTTACTAAGAAAAGCCCCTGCTCTCTCATCAGGGCCATCCCTAGTGGGGTGTGGGGTCCGGGACAAATCAGTCTTTATGGGCCCCCCTTAACATTTTTTATACAGGTGAAATCTGGTGTGGGGAGGGGACACCAGTGCTGGGGGGTGAGGGACAATGGAGAGTCACAGGGTGGCATCTGTGCTGGGGCGAGGGGGCCCCCTGTGCTGGGAGGTTCTGGAAAAGGGAGAGACTGGGGCAGAATGGCAATGAATGGGGTCAGCCTGGTGCTGGCGTGTTCCGGTGGCGCTAGGATGCTGGCGACCGGTGCGGCGGTGGGCAATGCCAGGAGCTGGCGGGGCAGGACAGAGTGGGGCGGGCTGGGGTCGCTGCTGCTGCTGCCAGAGCCTGAGCCTGAGCCCCGTGATGCCGAGCAAGAAAAAGAAATACAACATGTGCTTCCCTCCAATGAGTCCGGGGCCGACCCCCACTGCTGGCACCAGGCCCCCCGCTAATCCCCCGGGCCAGCTTGGCCCCCCAGGCACCCCTAACCCCCCCCCCGCCCCCCGGGCCAGCCTAGTGCCCTCTGCATGGCACACGCACACTGAAGCGTGGGGCCCTCCAAAGTGCAGGGCCCGGAGGGGTTGCCCCAATTCTCCATACCCAAGGGACAGCTCTGTCTCTCATTTCTGTACCTTGTTATTTCATATCTCATTTTTCATTCATATTCATAAGAACTTCCCTACAATTCTCTTCATCTAGAATTTCTGTTCTGTGCCTCCTATGTATATGAGCCTACCTGACATGTGAATCTTGCATACCCTTCCTTGACTTTCTTTTTATTTATATTTTCCCCCCTCTTGCATTGGAAAAACCTCTAATATGTTTTCCTAGTCAATAGATCCTAAATAATAAATTTTTATAAGAGAAATACTCTCTTGCCATGCATGACTTCTAAACTATAAATTATTCAACCATTCTACTTACAAATATTATCTCTGTTTCAGTTCACAGCCATTTAAACACAGAAGTGACACCTTCACTCCCAAGTTTTATTGTGCTGTCCTCCTAAAATATGCACAAACAAGATTTCAGCTGCAGATATGGTGGGCTGTTTCCCTATGACTGCACAAAATTAGTCCATTATAAAATGAAGTGCTGTAAAAAACAAACAAAAGAAAGCAACAAACAGAATGACATTTTTATAAAATCTGGTAAAGGTGATTTTTTTGGCATGTTTTTTAAAAAAAAAAATCTATGAATTTTCATTGACCTTGAAAAGCTTTTTGAAGATACTCCTTGGAACAAATTACATACCAAATCACAATTCACCTCTAGTCATACATGGTCTTTTGGGTGGTAAAAACTGATCATTATTTCATGGCAACTGTGAAAGTTGTAGGATGACGGATATTGAGAATATAGTTGAGATATCTTCCTTAAGCCAAGTTTGTTTGTCTGCTTCCCTATAAGTGAAAAGTGGAGGGTTGGCAAAAAATGTATGAGATTAAAATTAATAATGAATCCTCTGTTCAAATGATCTATCCTGATTTTGTAGCTGCATATTTGATAGCTTATAAAAACAATAACAGCCTAGGTGCCAAAATACAAGGAGGAAAAAAAAAAAACAGCCAGGAGTAAGTTTTCCAAAACTACAGATGCTGTAGATCCTGAAATGAATGGAAAAAAGAGAATTGTTGTTGGCAGAACATAGAGGTCAGTGCTTAATCTCAGGAAGAAAGGGGCAGATGTCAGACATTCACCAGCATTCAACACAATTGAATATCATTTAGAAAAAACAAGACACTTATGTCTTCCCAGGATGGATCATCTTTCCAGCAAACTTTGTAAGTGCAACCAAATTGGTAATTAACCTCAGAATGTTTTCCATGAGGGATGACACCACCGGCTGACATTATTTTCCTTTCCTTCAGCATTTTTCCCAGCATAGACTTTGTAGGAGATGTTGATTCCTTGAGAAGAGAGAGAGATAATTAGAATAGAATTCATGATGTATATATTGTATGTTAGGAGAGCAAAAACTTTTACTCATCGGAGTGTCTTCGAGATTCTTTTCAGTCCTGGGTACATATTGACTAGATAGGCTTAATTGATTTTACTAGATCTGCTGAATTTTAAAAGCATCCTCAGAGATCCAATGCAAATGTCTACCTGTAATATTGCTTCCTACTTTAGTGCATTAAGCCTCAATTATCTTGTGCTAGTAGCATGAGTCACAGCTGTTGAATAGGGTTCTTAAGTTTATGGATGCTTGTTACACCAATTTGGGAGTGGGCTTAATTTTCCTACAAAGATGAAGGTGTTTGCCAGTCACATGAGGGTGGACTAAAAGCCATTAACAGGCACTTATAGTTGATAGATACATAAGGAATAGAGAGCAACAGAAGAAGAATGCCTGTAAGGAATGTTTTAGCAAAGGGATGTAACAAAGAGATTCAGGATGAAATCTGTATATTCTGCAACTGCCCTCTGTCACATTCTGAAACAGCAGAGAATTAATTATGGTCCAGATGTAACTTTCTGCAGAAGAATCGCTTTTACAATACCAATGTATGATAATAGATAGAACCATCTCTCCAGATTTTCAGTTCTCTCTAATCCAGCTCTGCACTGTGAAGGCAAAGCATCTTAAATCCATGATTTTTTTTTAAGGACATGATCAAATGTTTATAGTCCTTTTTATGGTAAATTGTACATATTGTAACTAATGAACTCTTGAGGTAAAGAACAAAAAATCTTTAAATTCTGTCTAAGCAGCTGGTTCGCTGGGTGATCCTGGACAAATTATTCCATTTCCTCGTGTTCCAGTCCATTCAGCTGTAAAACTCAGAGCTAGCTACTGCAGCAGCATGTGTTTGTATGTCATTAGAAACTGCAAGGGGCTTCACACAATGCCACCATGTAATTGAGCTTCTGGTACAGCAACAGTGTCATTTTAAAGACATGGAAAGGGAATCATTTCCTTTGACATACACATTATACAAATATGTACTTTTACCAAACTCTCTGAATGTTGTGCTCAGTTAAAATTAGATATGTTCTTGATGCCCTATGCAGTGCAGGACCTCTCTAATTCTTTAATTGCTTCCACTTTAGTTTTTAAAATATTGGGTAACAAAATCAAGATTATGAGCGTATGATCACATACTGCCACAGATGCTACGGCTCAGTGTCATAAGAACATTGCAGTGGCAATGCCCCTTAGCTGTTGGCCAGTGACATCCAAACAACAAGCAGTATAGAAAAGTCTTGAGAATTTGTTCAGTTTTTAACTTTCAAAATGCACAATCCTTCTGAAGCTTCAGCAGCTGAAATTACAAATCTGTGAAAGTGATCAACTGAAAGTCAGAATCTAAAAACTCTCATGGCTGTGATACATGTAACAGGAGAAATGATAAGTGTTAATCTATACACGAAAGGCTAGGACAACTCAGAGAAGATGCTGCCAGTTTTTATTAATCGGACTAAACTCTTTTTGCATGTAGAAGAGTGATAAAGAGTAATGCCTGTTGTAGGAGGCTGAGGGCGAAACAATATTGTTATAAATAACTTCATAGAGGTTGAGATAATCTCCACAGATATAAACATGATAACACCGGATTACAGAAATCTTGTCAAATAGAAGGTTTACAATGATTCATGCACTGGTTATGCACTGATTTAAAATCAGACATATTTCCTGGTTTTATGTAAGTGTTCTGGGCACTCGTAAACAAATTTAGAAAACAATTACCTTCACCAGTCTGATCTACAAGACATATCCCTACTGAATCAAAGTAAATAAAACAATTGATAAAAAAGAGGGGTTATTGTAACTCATTAATTGTTGCTAGCTGGCAAACTGTACAAGAATTGTTCTGAAGAATAACAAGGAAGACAAATTCAAAAGCCAACGCAATTCTGAGCTACATACTCTATTCAAAGGAATCATGTCACAGAGCAAAGAGGTGTCATTTCCACCTCAATATGGGTTTGGTGAGACTGCATCTTTATTGCATTCATTTGAAGGCAGCTCAATGGCCAGAAAGATGTAGAGAAATTTTAGAGCAACATTAATTAACAACATTAATTAATTAATTAACTGATTGAAAAGACTGATCTAGGGTTAGAGATTGTTGAGATGAGTTCCTGTCTGCATCCTGTAAAACTTGCCCATACCGGTATTGCCCTGGCCTCTTCTTTTGTCATTCAGTGTTGCACGCATTCTAAAGCAATATGCATTTCCTCACCTTTTGGGGGCGAAGCCAGACTTTGAGGCACCTGCTCCCCTACTTGGTGTAAACTTTGCTTGTGCCAATCAGAAACGAACACAAACAGGTTTTGGGCCCCGTCCCCTATGACACTTCTATGATGTCATAGTTGGTACTTTATGGGCCTGCCTGCCATGTGCAGGCAGGGAAAGGAGAAAGAAAAATGAATCCTGTGTATCCTGTGTACATCTGTAACCGAGCCTGATCACCTCGAAGCCTCTCTCTCAGCTCACGTGTTTCAAACAGAGTTTCTACGTTTGCCGGTCGTTATGCGTTGGTTTGTATTTGTAAGTATCAGTTATTACTAATTGCTGCATCTTTGTTTATAAATATTGTTAGTAGATATTTTAGTCATTGTGTGTTTTAAGTTTCATTAACTCTATTAGCTAATCAAACGCTGCTCTCTTACCCCTTGTAATTATCCCCAATAAAACTTTAAATTGATTAATTTTAGTTGTGTGTGTGTGTGTCTGCAGTTTGCATCGTGACCCATACTCTCCTTGCATCCCTTACCAATATAGTCTATTGCCACGTGCAGCCTGGTAAATAACAGGCCTGCATTTTCTTTCGCCCCTGCGTGCCCGTGGCAATCCACATAAAGTAAATCAGGGTCAGATTCTGAGTCCTGTATGTTATGTAGTACTGTATTCTGCCAGTGGTTCCACTGGAGAGAAGAGAGAGACAAAAAGTGGCAAAGAGCAGCAAAGACGCTAGAAACTGTGAGACTATTCATGGATTAAGGCACTACTCAGCTAAATAAGGGTATCAGAATCTTGATCCACCATCTAAAGTTTAGCTAAACGATGACTGGTTGGGGAAGTACAGAGAGTGAAAGAGGGGATATCTGTCCACAAATATTTGAAGGATGTAAGCCAAGTAAGAGAACAATAGTTAGAGTAATAAAAGGGAGGTACTGGAATGAAATTAAGAGCCTTTAATCTTAATATCAGCAGAATTTCCTAACTGTGAGGTCTATTATAATTTAAAATAGTCCTCTAAGGTAAATGCTGGAAACCACCCCACTTGAGACAATTAACAAAAGATGACAGGAAATGGTGTTAGAAAACATTGTAGAGAATAACTCTGCATTGGGCAGTGGAGATGGACCAATATAAATGTCCAGAAATGTCTATTCCATCTCAAATTTCCAAGATTCTTAAAAGAATGACAGGATGTTCAGAAAACTGACTATTACAATTGTTCAGGTCAAATATAAGAAAACTTTCCGAATGGGTATCTTGTTAACCTCACCTCTGAAAGCACCCACCCTACATTAATGTACACCTGCTTAAATCTTGTCCTGCTTCTCAGTATGTAAGTTTCACCCACTCAAACTCCCTTACACGCTGATACACTTGTAAGTAGGCCTAAGGGAGAGTAAGCGGGTATAAGGTGCTTCACTACACCATCTTATGTGTTACTTCCGAATCTGTTCCTGAATGTTTTTTGGGAATCTATTTAATATTGTATATGAGGAAAATTCAGAGTTTAATCCTTCAACAACCAAGTAGTCTCTCCCTTTTTGTGTTCTGGATTACAAAGTAAAATTAAGTGATAAGCTGCCCCTGGTATCTTTAACTCTGCCGCTTCCTCAAGTGAACAAGGAAAGAACTGAAAATATTAGAGACGGATCCAAGACAAATTCCTGGGTCTGCAGACCCCCAAGCTAATTCTATCACTGGTGTTCCTGGAAATTGTGTTTGGAGTAAGGGGAGAATATGGTACTGATTGGACTCCACATTCTGTCACCATTACTCAATTTGAATAGTCCTTACTCCACAAGTAGTCCCATTGATTTCACTCAGTGTGAGTAGCAGTTACAGAATAAATTGCAGATTCTCTCCTCATTCCACACACAACTGCCAATAACACTATTAGGAGATATACACAGAGAGGTTACGTATCTAAGGCCTGGTCTACACTAGGAGTTTATGTCGAATTTAGCACCGTTACATCGAATTAACTCTGCACCCGTCCACACCACGAAGCTATTTAGTTCGACATAGAGCTCTCTTAAATTTGACTTCTGTACTCCTCCCCAACGAGGGGAGTAGCGCTAAATTCGACATGGCCATGTCGAATTAGGCTAGGTGTGGATGGAAATCGACGGTAATAGCTCCGGGAGCTATCCCACAGTGCACCACTCTGTTGACGCTCTGGATAGCAGTCCGAGCTCGGATGCTCTGACCAGCCACACAGGAAAAGCCCCAGGAAAATTTGAATTCCTTTTCCTGTCTGGCCAGTTTGAATCTCATTTCCTGTTTGGACATTGTGGCGAGCTCAGCAGCACTGGCAACGATGCAGAGCTCTCCAGCAGAGATGGCCATGCAATCTCTGAATAGAAAGAGGGCCCCAGCATGGACTGATCGGGAAGTCTTGGATCTGATCGCTGTGTGGGGCGATGAGTCCGTGCTTTCCAAGCTGCGATCGAAAAGACGGAATGCAAAGATCTACAAGAAGATCTCTAAAGCCATGGCAGAGAGAGGATACAGCCGGGATGCAACGCAGTGCCGCGTGAAAATCAAGGAGCTGAGACAAGGCTACCAGAAGACCAAAGAGGCAAATGGACGCTCCGGATCCCAGCCACAGACATCCCGTTTCTACGAGGCACTGCATTCCATCCTAGGTGCGGCCGCCACCACTACCCCACCACTGACCGTGGACTCTGAGGATGGGATATTGTCGACGGCCGGTTCCTCGGACATGTTAGCGGACGGGGAAGATGAGGAAGGAGATGAGGAGGACGAGGCAGTCGACAGCGCTTACAACGCTGATTTCCCCGACAGCCAGGATCTCTTCATCACCCTTACAGAGATCCCCTACCAACCGTCCCCAGGCGTTAACCCAGACACAGAATCAGGGGAAGGATCAGTCAGTAAGTGTTTTAAACATGTAAACATTTATTTTTAACAGAACAGGAATATTAACAATATTAACAATGGGTTTTGCATGATTACTTTGCCCTAGGCGCTTAACGTCTCAGTCCTTGGCAGTGCAACTACTGAAAAAAAATCTAACAATGTCCGGTTTAGCATGATTGTTCTGCCCTAGCCGCTCTACTGTTTAGTCCCTGCCAGTGCAGCTACAGTAAAATCCGGTCTATATGTCCGGGGATAGAGCTGAAATCCTCCAGGGACATCTCTACGAAGCTCTCCTGGAGGTAATTGGAAAGCCTTTGCATGAGGTTCCTTGGGAGAGCGGCCTTATTGGGTCCTCCGTAGTACGAAACGTTTCCGCGCCAGGAGACAAGCAAGTACTCTGGTATCATTGCCTTGCACAAATTCCGGTGTCCTGCCCCGCTTCTCTGATCTGCACTGCAAGACCTCAGGCACTGAATGCGAAGGCCGAAAATTCGACCTTGTCCTGAGTGCGCATGTGATAGGTGCTGTGCATGGTCTTGTTCACAGAGAAAGACTATGTTCTTTGTTCACAACTAAATTTATCTTTCTGAGGAATTCACTCCCTTTTTCCCATCCCACAGCTGTGACTGTCTCCCGACCTAGCCTGGCATCACACTCCCAGAGGCTAGCGCAGATTAGGCGTAGGAAGAAGAGGACACGGGAGGACATGTTCTCAGAACTTATGGGCTGCTCCCAAGCCCAGGCAGCCCAGCAGACCCAGTGGAGGGAGAACTTGTCCCAAATGCACCGATCACACATGGAACGGGAGGAGAGGTGGCGGCAGGAAGACCAGCAGGCGACTCAAACGCTGCTTGGACTAATGAGGGAGCAAACGGACATGCTCCAGCGCCTTGTGGATGTTCTGCAGGACCGGAGGCAGGAGGACAGAGCCCCGCTGCAGTCTATCTGTAACCACCCTCCCCCACCACAAAGTCCCATACCCCCCTCACCCAAAGTCCCAAGAAGGAGGGGCGGCAGAGTCCGTGAAAACTCTCACTCCACCCCTGCAGACTGCTCAAGTACCAGAAGGCTCTCATTCCCCAAAATTTGATAAGTCCTTTCTTTCCCGCATCACCCAAGCCCCCGTCCCAGTTTCATCCCCCAGTTTCATGTGTAGTTGCTAATAAAAAAGACGTTTCTGTTAATTACTGTTTCCATCATGTTCTTTTAGAGGAGAGTCTGTCTGAAGGGGGGGAAGGGGGTTGGTAATTGGACAGGACAGTCACCTTTACCAGGGTACAGAGGCGGGGGCAGGTTCAGCAGCAGGGCACACACACATTGCAGTCACCAGTTACCCTGGTCAGTCTGGGAGGTGGTTTTCATGTTCTGCGTGTGTGTGTGTGTGGGGGGGGGGACTATGTGACTTTGTGGCGGGGGAGGGCGGTTAGAGATCTTATGCAGCGGTCCTTATCCTGGATCACAGAGCCACGCAGCAGGGGATCTGTAACCGTCCTCCCCCTGCCACAAAGTCACATAGCCCCCACACACAGAGTCCCGAACAGGAGGGGTGGGAGGCTCCGTTGAAACAACCAGTCCACCAGTGCGGAGCCTGTCATTCCTGGAGTTTAGAAGCGTCCTTTGCATCACAACACTACACCCGCTCCCCACCACAGTCTGCGTCCCAGGTTCAACACTTTTCAGAGAAAACAGTAATAAAGAAAACGCTGTTCATTAACAAAATTCAAGTGATTTTATTTTTAAACGTGTGTTGGAAGGGGGGAACGGAGTGAACGGGGTATGTAACTGGAGAGGATAGTGAACATTTCCTGGGTAAAGAAACGGGGGCAGGTTCAGCTTCTCTGTAAACAAACTTAATAGTCACAGGTTACCCTGCTCACTCAGGAACCTAGCTTTCAAAGCCTCCCGGATGCACAGCGCGTCCCGCTGGGCTCTTCTAATCGCCCGGCTGTCTGGCTGGGCGTAATCAGCAGCCAGGCTATTTGCCTCAACCTCCCACCCCGCCACAAAGGTCTCCCCCTTGCTCTCACAGAGATTGTGGAGCACACAGCAAGCTGCAATAACAATGGGGATATTGGTTTCGCTGAGATCACAGCGAGTCAGTAAGGTTCTCCATCTCCCCTTGAGACGTCCAAAAGCACACTCCACCACCATTCTGCACTTGCTCAGCTGGTAGTTGAAGAGTTCTTTTTCAGTGTCCAGGGCGCCAGTATAGGGCTTCATGAGCCAGGGCATTAGCGGGTAGGCTGGGTCCCCGAGGATCACTATAGGCATCTCCACATCCCCAACAGTTATTTTGTGGTCCGGGAAGTAAATACCTTCCTGCAGCCGTCTAAACAGACCAGAGTTCCTGAAAACACGAGCGTCATGAACCTTGCCTGGCCATCCGACGTTGATGTTTGTAAAACGTCCCCTATGGTCCACCAGTGCTTGCAGCACCATTGAAAAGTAGCCCTTTCTGTTAATGTACTGGCTGGCCTGGTGGTCCGGTCCCAGGATAGGGATGTGAGTTCCATCTATAGCCCCACCGCAGTTTGGGAATCCCATCGCGGCGAAGCCATCTATGATGACCTACACGTTTCCCAGGGTCACTACCTTTGAGAGCAGTACCTCAACGATTGCGTTGGCTACTTGCATCACAACAACCCCCACGGTAGATTTGCCCACGCCAAAGTGGTTCGCGACTGACCGGTAGCTGTCCGGCGTTGCAAGCTTCCAGAGGGCTATGGCCACTCGCTTCTGGACACTCAGGGCTGCTCGCATCCGGGTGTCATTGCGCTTCAGGGCAGGGGACAGCAACTCACAAAGTTCGAGGAAAGTCCCCTTCCGCATGCGAAAGTTTCGCAGCCACTGTGATTCATCCCAGACCTGCAGCACTATGCGGTCCCACCAGTCCGTGCTTGTTTCCCGGGCCCAGAATCGCTGTTCCACAGCATCAGCATGACCCATTGCCACCAGGATGTTCACGGCGCGGGGTCCCGTGCTTTGTGAGAGGTCTGTGCCACTCTCAGACTTCAGGTCCTCACCGCGCTGCCTTAGCCTCCTCGCCCAATTTCTCAGCATCTGCCTCTGGGAAAGGTGGATGATAAGGTGCGAGGTGTTGACAACGGCCATAACTGCAGCGATGGTTGCAGCGGGCTCCATGCTCGCAGTGCTGTGGCGTCCGCGCTGTCACTGACCAGAAAAGTGCGCGAACTGATTTCCTGCCGGCGCTTTCAGGGAGGGAGGGCGGGAGTGACGGTTGGATGACGACAGTTACCCAAAAGCACCCTCGACACATTTTTTTACCCAGAAGGCATTGGCGGCTCGACCCAGAATTCCAATGGGCAGCGGGGACTGCAGGAACTGTGGGATAGCTGCCCACAGTGCACCGCTTCCAATGTCGATGCCTGCCCCGTTAGTGTGGACTCACAAAGTCGAATTACTGTCCTTAGTGTGGACACACACGTTCGACTTTGTAATATCGATTCCACATATTCGATTTAAGTAAAATCGAACTACTCTCGTAGTGTAGACATACCCTTAGTGTGCAAATATTTTTTAGCCAATATCTGCAGTTTTTAATTCCATGTACTGACACAAGTTAGCCCACTGGTCAGCTAATTAAGAAGTTTCTGATCTCTTTGGTATGTTCTCCCAGGGCTGGTGAGTTTTGCTGAGCAAACCTTTTCTCTTTTCTTTTTTGTTAACAGAGCTGCTTGAGTTCTTTTCAGTACTCCTCACATATTGATATATTTCCATTTATAAATTGCATTTATTCAATAAGGTCTACAGCTAGTGAGAAATCGAAAAGGTCATATATGACCAGATGACTTGCTTAGAACTTTTTTTTCATGATATGATATGGAATAAATAAAATATTTTAAATCACTGATCCAGACTGTGGAACAACATGAAAGAAGAGCCAAATGGTTTCCTCTCTCTGGCAGCAAACTATATTTTTTTTCAAGGATAATTTAGCCTTCCTTTGATTAAAGGAACAAGAATTTATGCCAACACACCATGCCACATGTTCCATGTTCTCAGGTCAAGCTAAACTTTCAGATATGATCCTATAAATAACACACACCTACAAATCCAGAAATGATGGTAGATGTCAAGTAACACGTCACTGATTATTAAAATGCTTCACATATGGAGTCATACTGGCACCTTATGAAATCCTATTTCCCCCTCTGGTGCATCTGAAGAAGTGAGGTTTTTACCCACGAAAGCTTATGCCCAAATAAATCTGTTAGTCTTTAAGATGCCACCAGACTCCTTGTTGTTTTTGTAGATACAGACTAACATGGCTACCCCCTGATACTTATTTCCCCCTCATCACTCCTAACCCATTTACATACCAAGACAACCTTTGGCACATAGAATCCTCTGGCTCCAGAGTTATATCTATCCTGCCTCTCATCCCACATGCCTTTAATCTACAAAAAATTTGGCTTCAGCTGTTGGCAGAATTTGTGATCTGGAATGGGAACGGCAATTATGCTTTCTTTGGGGTGAAGCCTAGGTGACGGGTTTTTTTGTAATGCACAGTATGCATTTTGTCAAGATAAAAAATACTGAAGTTCCCATATGCATTATAGGAGAAGAGGTCAACCTACCTTAAATCCCTTGGAAAATCCCACAAGTCTGCAGGAACCAGTGCTATTTCCCAGTCCTTTCCTGAAAATGGAGGTCAGCATGCATGGTCAGTTCTTGCTCTTTGTTCAGAAAGAAAAGAATTTGCTCCAGTCTTTGAAGAGTTGCATGGTGATTGAGGCAGCTGCAATAGGGCAGTGGAGAGTGTTCTAGCAGGACCAATGGACAGCCAGAGAGCAAGACCAGCAGCTCTTGGAATTATTGCTGCAACAGCTGTATACCTCCCACCTCTGGAGTTGTTGGATTCAGGCAATATTTGATGATGTTCACCACATACAGTGCTGCTTTTGGGTCTGGACCATGACAACCTCAGCTGTTCTCTTGGATGAGCAGTAGTGACTGCATAACTTCAAAATGAGGAAGGAGCGTTTTCTGTACCATCCACCACTAAAATGCATACACCTCAGAACTGAAGCAAGGTAGCTATTTAGCAATGCACAACAACACCGCACACTGGTATAGACAAGAAGAAAAAAAGTATCTTCAGTATGGATCGTGTATACTCACCGAAGAGAGAAGGGGTTAAATATGTCTGGATCATTTGTTTTTAGTCCTCTGCATGGATCGGGATTCAGCTGTGCTCTTGTCAAGGCTGTATTTTGAGTTTAGATGCTGAATCAATGCCATCTAGTGGTGATAATTTTTTTGTACAATTCTAAAGTAACTAGCCAGTTTAACAGCATCAAGGTTCTACTTAATGAGTGGGGCTGTGATTTCTGTCTTGGTACTTTGTACAACTGGTCTAAATTTACTCAGGGTGAAAGAATGAAAGTCATAGAAATATAAGAGTAAAAAGAAGTACAATGTTATGGGTATTGTTCCTAACCCAATAACCCTTAAGTCTGTTCATGTCAAGGACTGAGATAATTTTTTTTTTTACAGGCAATGCTTTATTGCAGATAATCAAGAACTCCAAATTTAAAAAAAAACAATCCCTCTCTTCTATTTTTGATAAGGGGGGGAAAGAGAAGCAAGACATTACTCCTTAGACACCTAAAGCCATCACTGATTGTTCACCAGTCTGGCTGGAACAAGATCCTCGGAGGTATTTAAGTGCCTGAGTCCCAGGAATCTAAATACCTTTGAAAATCTCAGCTGTCATCTGTCTCACGGTAAGCTTACTGCAGTAGCTCCTGCACTCTATTAACCTCTTTCTGTTCCACTATCAGCTCAGGAGGATGTTAAACAGCAGTTACTAAAGTCTGACATTTTTAGATCAGCAGATCCAGCTAACTTGCATCCAAGAGCTTCAAAAGAGCCATCTGAGAAGCTTGCTGGACCATTAATGTTGATTTTCAATAAGACTTGGCACGCTGGGGAAGTTCCAGAACACTAGAAGAAAGGTAATGTTGTGCAAATATAAAAAAAAAAAGATAAATGTGATGTCCCGAGTCTGACATTGATCCCAGGCAAGATAATGGAGAAGCTGATATAGGACTCGATTAATAAAGAATAAAAGGACGGTGATGTAATTTATGCCAATCAATATGGGTTAATGGAAAATAGATCCTTTCAAACTAATATAATATTTTTGATTAGATTACAAGCTTGGTTGATAAATGTAATAGAGTTAATGTAATATACTTAGAGTTATGTAAGGGGTTTGACTTGGTGCTGCATGCATTTTGATTAAAAAGCTAGACTGATATATGACTAACATGGCACACATTAAACAGATTAAAATCTGGTTAACTGATAGGTCTCAAAATGTAACAGTGAACTGGGAATCATCACCAAGTAAGCATGTTTCTACTGGGGTCCCGCAGGGATCTGCTCTTGGCCCTACTCCATTTAACGTTTTTATCAATGACCAGGAAGAAAATATAAAATCATCAATAAAAAATTTGCAGATGACACAAAAATTGGGGGAGTGATAAATAATGAAGAAGACAGGTCACTAATATAAAGTGATCTTGATTAGTTGGTAAACTGGTGCAAGAAAGCAATATTCATTTAAAGACAGTTAAATGTAAATGCGTACATCTGGGAACAAAGAGCATAGGCCATACTTACACAATAGGAGTCTATATCCTGGGAAGCAGATAGTCTGAAAAAGATTTGGGAGTCATGGTGGATCATCAGCTGAACATGAGATCCCAGCATGACACAGTGGCCAAAAGGGCTAATGATATTCTTGGATGCATAAAAAGGGGAATCTGGAATAGCAGTAGAGAGGTTATTTTACCTCTGTATTGGGCCCTGGTACAACTGCTACTGGAATACTGTGTCCAGTTCTGGTGCTACAAAGGGAAAAAACATTTAATAATGGGCTCCTCATTCTAGCAGAGAAAGGTATAATATGATCTAACACCTGGAAGTTGAAACTAGACAAAGTCAGACTGGAAATAAGGCGTACATTTTTAACAGTAAGAGTAATTAACCATCAGAACTATTTACCAAGGGTTGTGGTGGATTCTCCATCACTGACAACTTTTAAATCAAGATTGGATGTTTTTCTAGAAGAGATGGCCCAGGAATTATTTTGGGAAAGTTCTATGGCCTGTGCTATACAGGAAATCAGACTAGATACTCATAGTGGTTCCTTCTGGCCTTGGAATCTATGACTCTATTAACCCTTCCAGGTAGCCACAGCTACAACCACCAGAGCCCTTAGTGAAATTTGTTCACTTGTTTACCATCACATCTAGCACCTCACACACAAAAAGGCCTGAATGCCAACAGCTGACTTTTACAAAAATGTATACGACAACATTAACCTCAGAGGAAAAAATAAAATAAATTAATGGAGCTTTGACTCCTAGACATATTCATGAGAAACAAGCTGCTTTAGAGGTTCTTCATTTTTCGATGGGACCACATTCTGAAATAAATCTTTCCTGAATCCCCTCTTCTGACCTTCAAACAACCCCCCAATCTTGCCAAGCTCCCCACAGATGAGGACACTCCAGCTCAAAACAGCACCAGACCCTGCCATAATAACAGATCCAAAGCCTGCCGATGTATCTCCAGTGATCAATACTCCCCACAATACGCCTTCCAAGAGCTAGGGATCCGAAAGATGACTATCACAACATGTGGTGTACCTCATCCAGTGTACTTAATGCCCCAATTACAACTATATGGGTGAAACCAATCACTATGCTCTTGAATGAATTCACTGAGAAAAAACAATAAAAGACAAAAACACCATATTGCCTGTTGTGAGGCGAACCTGCAGTCAGACCAGGGCTGCTCATTCAGCTGTCATGACTGACTCCTCCAACAGAGCTTGCAGTGACGCATCACTCAGGCATTCTGCAGCAGCCTGTTCCTGACCAGGGTCCCAGTCACATTATACTCAGGCACAGCTATTAGTTAGTCTGTGCAATTTCACTACTCAGCCAGGAACCCTTCTGCTGTCTCATGGTGTTACAGACTCCTCTAGGCTTCCAGCCTGTCCTTGGTCTCATTCCTGTTCCTGCCCCAGCCTTGCCCGAGCCTTGTTCTAGCCCACTCCAGCTCTATACATGCCCTATTCTAACCTTGCTCCAACCCTGTTACTGACCTACTCCAGCCCTGCATCTGACTCCTGACCCCCAAGACCATCGGACTGACTCCAACCCAGCTTCAACCTTTAGCCGTATCTGGACTCCAACTACAATACTGATGTTGCTTTTCTATGAACTCTGACCTCAGTACTGACCCACAGCCTGTCCCCCGGACTCCATTTTCAGTGCAGCCCTCAGCCCAGTCCCCACCCTCCATTCAGCTTCAAACAACACTCCAACCACCAGGCCTGAATGCCTGGAACCAGAGCTTGACACATGGGGGTGAACACTTTTCACAAAACAATCTTTTCATATCTGACCTCTCCGTCCACGTCCTCAAAGGAAACCTGCACACCTTGAAAGGACGAGCCTGGGAGCTTAAATTCATAACTTTACTAGACATTAAAAATCATGGTTTTAATAAAGACACTGGATTTATGGCTTATTACAGCAATCTGAAACCCATTAACTCACTTTTTTTGTCCTATGACTGTCGGGGTGTTAATGGGCCACTTCGCCTTGAATGATCTGTTAGAATATGTGTTAGCTACTTATGCTAAACAATCTGTTCCACCTTCTATTTAGCTGTAGACCCGAAGAACTCTGTGTAGCTTGAAAGTTGGTCTCTTTTACCAACTTAAATTGGTCAAATAAAAGATATTACCTCACCCATCTTGTTTCTCATCATCTTTTTTACTAGCCACTTCAGGTCCAAATTTTGCCCTTGCTTACACCTTGTCTGTCTAGCCATGTTAAGACCTGTCTTCAACTGTGTAGCTGAAGTGTAACTGAAACCAGAATTTGGCCATCTATCTATAAATCAGATAGAGGTGTCTGGTTTTAGAAGGTCTAACGCATACTATTTTGAACAAAAAGTAAACTCAGGTCTCAAAGACAGGTTGGGTTGACATTACCAGACCATATGACAGCAAGGATTGTGTGGATGACAGGATGACTCATGGATGATTGTGAGCCGGCTACTGGAATGGGAGCTTGGTGCTGAAGATGTCTGGCTGAGTTATTGGGCCTGTTTTAGGTTATTAAATCCAAGTGTCTGTTTTATTTATGTTGCACCTCTAATGGTATATGAGTACTGTACAGTACTAAAGGAAAATATATGAAGTTCAATATTCAAAGAGCCTTGTCCTCACATGGCAAATAAAGGTTACAGGAATGTAAAAAAATAGTCTGTATCTCACTCCCCACTGCATTTGCACTATTGTTAGGCATTTCAGCAGCGAGAGACCAAGGATTGAAAGGATATAGACAGAACCACCTAAAACACCTTGAAGGTCATAGTGACCGAATTGGTTAAATAGCTTTGACCTTTTCCGAATGTGTGTGAGTTTGAAGATATTTGTCATTATGAAACCCCATTAAATAACCTGCATGTCTTATTGGAAAATCCAGTCCGAGGAGATAGTAGGAATGCAGTATCTGGAGATTGCTATTTTGAAGAACTTGTATTGCAACAACAACAAAAAGTGACCTCGCATTCCTAATGCTTTTTTGTCCCATTGTGCCTTTCCTTATAACTCCTCAGAGTGGATAGTGGCATTAAGATCCAAGCTTCCAGGATGACTTCTGAAGATGCCAGGCTTTCCCAATGGAATGCACACTGTACCACACTAAGGAGAGAGCAGGGTCTGCAACTATATTTGACTCCTCTGTGGACTGCAAAAAGGTAGGGGGAGGGACCATTCTCCCTTCTCTCCCACACCCTTGCCCACCAGGCCATTAGGGTTTAATAACTTATGGAAAGTCAAAACAAAAGTGCAATAGGAATTACAGGATTTCAGTCACATCTGGTAGGTTGGCATACTACTGATACTGCCTGAGTTAGGTCAAATCTTTATTACTGCTGAGATGCAATG